TAGAAAATTAAATACTTATTAACATAGTTCGTCCATAAACTCAAAATTTTTCGATATGACAAAAAAAAAACAAGTGAAAGTATCGTATCAATTAAGACATTATCTATTAAGAACATGTTGCCAGAAAAGAAAAATCTGACAGAACACAATATCACTTTTCTCTCTGAAATAAATATTTGAATCTTGAAAAATATGTTGAGAAAGAGATAACTACTCTGATTGAATTACCTCAGTACTTAAGACAACATGATAGATAAAATTTCATATTAAAATATGATTTTTATAGTAAAGTTAGAGTTCTACTGCTTTTATGATTACCGTCATAGTCATGTCAGGCTATGACGATACAAGATGTGAAATTCAACAATAACTCAAATTTTGATTATACATTGCACTCCAATTGAATTTCTCCTATTCTATGTTTTACTTTAGACTATTTATAGTTTTTTTGGTAATGGACATATAGCGAGAAAGTATAAACTCCATTACATCACATGATATATATTATTCATAAATAACAAATAGAAATCAAACAACGAAAAATACGTCAGCAAAAAAAGATAATATGTTTTTTCACTACAATATATATTTCATCTGGAGTATAAGAAAGACTAGTTGTTAGCGCAATCCCTGTAGGATTAAAATGTGAAACATGATGTAGTTGCTATTGTTAATCAAAGAAAGATTGTTTTATTCTATATATCTTGCAACACATATCTTCACCCTTATGTTTTACTTAGCTATCCAGAAATTTAACAAGGAAATAGTTAATATATTGTAACGAACCGCTATTGATTTACAGTCTGCGATCGTATATCAACAATGTCTGTCACGAGCTGTAGAAAGGAGGGTGCAAACGTCTATCCTATATATTTTAACACTTCTTTTAGATAGTTTTTCAAAAAAAAAATACACATTTATATGGAGGAGGGAACAGACAAGAGAAAAACAGAAAATTAGTCAGATAGATAGGTTTATGAAAACAATGGCAAGATAAAAATTTTATTTATTTTTACTGCAGATTGTAGTGAATAAAATATCTTTTTTTTTATGTTTAATTTCTATTTTGTTATTTCTGATTAATATATCATGTGATACAATGAAGTCTGTACTTTTTCGCTATCTATCTAAGTATTAAAAAAAAATCAAACTATAATAGTCTAAAGAAAGAAATACACAATAGAAAGAATTGTAATTGAGGTGTATTATATTTTTGAAAAATCTACCTTTAATATTTCATATTGTCGACTCTATATTTTTAATATGAATTCTTTATTAAGATTCATTCTAGTTGATAATATAGTATTAGAACTTCTCATAAGTTCTTTCATTTTTTTTTTTTTGTTGCTTAATCTCGCTTATTACACATGCTATTTCATTCACACCTGGATTTCTTTTTTTATTCGTAAAACATTCATTAAATGAATTGATGTCTGAAATCTAGACTTTAATAAAAAAACAAAAAAAAAAGAAACAGAAATCCTGGCTCTGAGGTATAACATAAAAGAAATTCTTATGTTATTTCCGGATTTATTTTTTGCGCTTAAAATAGAAAAAAAAAAGGTCAATATATATTTATATCATTACTTTCTTTAATAAGTTATTAACTTACTTGTACAAATATGGGTATAAAATAGAAAAGTATTGATTCAGTATATTTATAAAATAAAACAAAATATGAATGTGTATAATGATCAGATAAACCACATATATAATATTCTGAACGATTATAAAGTGGATGTAATGTAAGTAAAATTAAATTTGGTAATGCCATTATAATTCCTATAGACCATATTACAATAAATATTAATAAAAGACGTTTACGTCGATTAGAATGAGAAATTTTTACGGCATGAATTATTGAAATATATCTAAAAATATCATCATAAAATAAAAAGAAAATTCGTTGTTGTTTTTTTTTTTGAAATTTAACCTTTCAATACTAATAACAAGTAATGTTTGTACACTAACATAACAACCAAGTACTTGAAAAAAACGTATTATTTTGCATAAAAATAAACCAAGATACCAAGCTGTTGGCCATGAATGATCAAATGAAAATTGTATTATATCAAATATATTAAAACTAAGAATAATTAAATCAGCACATGACATATTAACAAGAAGAAGATTTGTTGATGAACGACGAATTTTAATATGATTTGTTAAAACAGATAATAAAACAAGAGTATTACCAATTAAACCAATAAATACAATAATTATAAATAAAATAATAATAAATATTCGAAACCATTCTGATGGTTTATCATGAAAATTTGACATAATACTATGATTCATTAGTAAATCTTTTTTTGTTTTCTTAATCTATATTTCGTAATAATTATCAATACGGTTAGAATAAGTTAATCAAATATAATGAGTGTTGAAATAAAAAAAAAAAAAAAAAAGAGAGAAGAAAATAGGAAATAATCATCCGTAATTGTGACGAAGAACAAACCAAAACTAATAGAAGAAAGAGAAAAAGAAAATAAGAGTAAAATGATGACGACGTCTCTTCATAACCGATCCGATTTCTAGTATGTATTCATTGTCGCGCATGTTTGACAAGATGTTTGCAAAAAAAAAGAGAAAACAGCAGCTTATGAAGATCATTAAAAACATGAATACAATAGTCTTCTTATTTTGCGTAATGATTTTTAAAAGAAAGAAGAAAAAAAATCCTTAAAGAATAGGAAAAGAAAACTTCCTCTTGTTAAGTATATTTTTTATTTACACGAATATCTTTTGTATTATCTAATTATTAATTTATTCTTTCTTATATATATAGTTTAATTTTACCTTTACAAGATGAAAGAAGATTTTTAAATAATAAATTTTATTGAATTGATGTTATATTAAATACTAAAATGAAAGATAAAAAAGAAAGAAAGAAAAGAGACTCATAAATAATTTTTATATATAAAATTACCTTTTATTCTTTTACTTTTATAAATAAGATAAGTTAATATAATTGATAATGTTATTACAAAAATGAATATAAAACTAATAGATTGGTATCGACTTCCTTGAAAAATAAAATAATTTCAGAACAAAACAAAAAAAATTAACCGATCAAATGCTTAATATTACATTCTTCTAAGAATAAAAAACAAAGCGTCTGTGTCTATCTATCATGGAACGAATCACAAAAGAATATAGATAAGAGTAAATTACCATAATGTATTTGACAATCTTGTCTGATTATAGAATGAACAAAGAAAGAAAATAACATGAACCTAATATACGAACCTTGAAGAAACTTATCAGATTTTTTGAATATTATTGTTTGTGTTGTTGACAATGTCACAAATGTTGAATCTATGACAAATAGTAATAATAATAATAATAATAATAATACTAATCATATTGATTTCTTCAATATATTCTTACCAATCAATGGTGTCTCGATAATTCTGTATTTTGTTTTATGAGAAAAAAGAAAAAGAAAAAAAAAAAAACATCTGTTTCAATTGATGATAACACTATTTGATTACCTGGAATATTTGAAAGATGATATGAATGAAGTGCTTAGTTTTATAGTTTTTTCTATTAAGAATTAAAAGAAAAGAGAGAACAAAAAAAAAACCATTGATGAAATATATCATCCAAATATCAACAAGTAATATGATCAATAATGAGAAGGATTCTGAAGGATCGAGTGTATAAGGTCTAAAGTCTATTTTTCTATATAAAATGCAGAGGACAGACATAATCGAGTACGTGATCGATCAATTTTCTATCTGATGATGCTATTGATCGATAAGAACTTTTTCTTCGAGTCTCTATGAATTGGTAAACATGCAAGCGATCCTTGTCTATTTTCTTTTGTTTTAATTCTTTCAAGACATATGGATATATTCACAAATAATCAAAAAGACTACAAGGAAAAAAAAACAAGAAAGAAAGAAAGAAAGAAATCTTTGATTAGCATTGTAATTCTAAAAATAAAACAAAAAACATATTATTTACATATGCGTCTACACAAAACTGCTTAAAACTATAGAATAAATCGTCTATTAATAATCTCTAGAGGAATTTCCTATTTCTTGGACACTAATTTATATATCGGTGTAATCGACATATTTTATCTCTAATCTAAGATCATGTACATATGTTTATGCGAACATATATCCATGTAATGACATATTCTATTGACTAAGTAGAATATGGAAATACACAACAGATGTAAACTAATTACATTATTCAATGTCATTTTCTGTCCGATGAAAGCATATATATTTTGCTGCTCTCCTCCTCTATATGTTACAATACTTGTTGTTAACATTATGATTGACAAATGGATAAATATTGAGATATTAGAGATTAATCAATATATAAACAAAAAGCAATCATATAAATGATCGAGATTGATAGATCAAGATATTTTCTAGATCTATTGTAACCTCAATTTTGATGAATTCATATAACATATTTTTCATAGACTATAGTTTTCCAAAATGAAGTATAATTATTCTAAAATTCCTACTCGAAACAATATTGAAATATAATTATATTTGTCTGAAAAGATAAAAACTCAGTATATTTGCCGTCATTGTAGATTAGTAATCTTATTCAATCACAATTGTATTTTCTTATTACATTCCTATGATCGGAAACTAATAAAAGGTAGTAATCGGATATATAGATTCCATGACGGGTTTCAGTATCTGGTAATTTTCAAAATCTTTTAGTCGAATATATTTTGATTGTACTAGATCAAACGGAAATAAATTATAGACATCAAATAGTAAATATTTTATGTGATAATTTCATAATAAACATTTATTTATTTGATGTTATTCTTCTATAAAAAGAAAAAGAACTATGCCATTAATCCTAAAAATAAGTATACTTTTTGAAATATGGATTATTATTAAAAGACAATAAAAAAAATTGCATATGATTTGTGTAAGTAGTTAGTCGGTTATTTTTTCAAGATAATTATGATAATAATTCAAAGAACATAAATATAATTTTGAATAAGAATAAAAATGAAAAAGAAAGCATTTTTTTTTTCGAAAGTATTTCGATGATTTCATAATTAATTATTTTTTTTTGTTCAATTTAAATATTTAACAAAATAGATTTTCAAACATAAAAATAAATTTTTGTTTTAATTTCAAAATACTAAGAGAAAAATGATTAGTATAGAAATATAAAATAAAATAAAATCTTTGATAGATCATTAGATACTTTAAAATCAAGATATTTTTCTTTTGATACAATGATAATATATGTGACTTTTATCTACAACAAAAAAATGTTTCAGTTTACATTCTTGCTGCTTTGTTTTTTTAAAGACATACCAACAGATTCTTTGAATAATAAAATTATCTCTACTCTATTGCTCTTATCATAATTGAATACAAAGCTTCTCAGACAGCAATAAACTCAAGGAAATAACAACGTGTCAAGATTGATTGTTTTTTTTTTTTCATTAATTCTAAGCAAAGTTCTGCAAATAATAATAATAATGTATCTTTCCGATAAGCGAAACCAGTAGAAGAACTTGCTCTTATTTCTTCAATGATATTTGTTATAGTAATCTCTTACTTTCGATTTCAATGAATTGAATACATGTTGAATATTTCCATGTATTTCCATATGGAAAATTAATAATTGAACATGTAAAATTTTGTTCATTATTTTCTTTTGAAAGATATATTGTAGTATTTATTCGTACACGTATACGCCAATGTGTTTGTAAAAGACATAATGAATTTGATAATAAAACAGTAGATAAATCATCATAAAGACAATCAATAATTTCATTTGAATGAATTATTTGATGATTTAAATAAAATTGTAATATTGATTTTGGATAAGAATATATTTCACATACAATATTTATACGTTGTGTATCATAAAACCAAAATATAGACTGATCTTTCATAGATATATCATTTATATTTAATGAAAATGAAAATGGAGAAACTAAAACAACAAAAGAAAAAAAAAAGGAAATAAAATATATTTTTTATAAGATTATTCTAACCATAAATATTTAAATAAAAAATCATTATTTCAAATATATTTGTTTTATTATTATATATAACACATTGAATATTTTCAAATGCACTATTTATCCATTGACGTACCTTAAATAAGAAAAACAAAATCAATATTTATAATATTAGATAGTCAATAAATAATAAACATTCTCAATATTTTGACTATAACTTTTTATCTTTTAGATTCTTAGACCTGAACGTATTTTTGAATACATTAAAGTATGATTGTTCTCATTACATAATTCAAAGTTCCTTTAACTCTAATCGAATATTCTAAAAAAACTTAGTTGAAAGTGATTCAAATTTATCGGATGTTGTTCAGAAGCTCTGGAACCATAGACTGACATAGCTGAATGTCACAAAGAGGATGAGATCGATGCGAGCCTGTCAAAATTGCTTTCGAATCTAATACACGGAAGGAACAAACTGATTTCTATTCTAGAAATTATTATGACGTCTTAATGATATGAATCATGATTGGAAGTAACTAAGAATTCGAAGAAACCATGAGAAATCATTCTAAATCTTAGAAAATCTTTAGTTATGAGATAAAAAGTAAAGCCCTGATTTCTATTGATTTTTCTTCATTTCTAAGCATTCGTAATGAATAGATAAAAAGTGATTAGAGATTAGTTCGTTTCTCTTTAATTAATACTAGTTGATACGAAAGTTTTCAAGTACTATAACATATGTATATATTCTTTTTATCACTCAGCTCAGTACAAGAACGATATTTTAGGTTAAAGAATTAATCAGCTTGTATGTATTGAGTATTCTTCGTTCAATTTTTCTTCGAAACTTTCTATAGAAATAAGTTTTTGTAGAGAATTCGACGGCGCATCTTCTGAAAAAAACAAATTAGGTAAAGGAGAGAAAAAGAAAAAGAGTTCTAGTCATAAACTGACAGATTTATTATTTATAGGTCACCCAATATATAATTTCTAATAATAATATAAACTTCGTAGTACATTAAAAAAGATCATTGTATGCATATTATTTTCAAACATAACATCTCTTGATTTATCTTCATGTTCATTTTCTTGTAAAAATTTATGTCGAAAATTTGAATTTGTATAATAATATCTAATTGATAAGATAGATTTTAAAAATAAATCAACAAAAAAAAAAGAAAAATAAATATTTTTCATTCTACCGATAAATATTATCATGACGTAAACTAATACGCCATGCAGCTAATATATGTTGTTCAATTAGACAATCAAATTTAACTGTTTCATATTCTTCTATATTAAAACTTTTATTTGATATAATACGTGAAGTTTGTAACATGATAATACTATGTTGATTTATATATAGAAGAATGAGTATAAAGAAGAAATTAATCATTGATACTATAATAATAAATATATTAAATGAGATTTAATATTGATTCGAGACAAACAAACTATTCATTAATTATGAGAGTATGAAAATAGACTTTTAACTATGAAATGTTTCAAATATCATATTGAACAATCGAGTTACCAAAAGTAGACTATTAAAAAAACGTTCGGCTATTGAAAATCGATGAACATACACTGACCGTAGTCGTCAAAAATCCTGCCATCAGGTAACAATTATTCAAACATGGATCGTTTGGCATTTTATTTTGGCGGCAAGTCAAATGCGATAAACCTTGACCGCAAACAACAATCAGAACTTAATCAATCTTCATACAAAGAAGCTAGAAGATCATCAAGTGTTCTCTAAAAATGTCATGACTATAGCCATTGATGGAGTAAAGATCTGTGCAAAGACTTTCCTGGATAATAGAAACATCACTATGTCTTAGAATCATAGAAGATTGAACTCTCCTATGTGTGTGTGATATAGTAAAGATATGTGAAATTTTATTTCTCTATAATAAAAAATGGATATTAATACTTCAAAATAATAGCAATTAAGGAAAAAACAATGCTTTTTTTTTCTAAATCCAATCGACCTCGGGTTGATACTTGCGATTAGGATTTATCGAGTTCTGTTTGTAATTAAAATATCAAGCAAAACAATTCTAATTTAAGTACGTTTTATCTGCTTATGTCACATGAATATATTTTCAATCATTTGGCTAAAACATAATAAAGTTATTCTTATCTCTGAAGTACATGGAAAACTCTCTTATTTTGTTTCGCTATATTGTCGAGTAAGGTTTTATTCTAAATATAATATTATAGCCATACGAAATAAAATTTCATTAAACTGAGTACGATATTATGTTCAAACTTTGAAACTTCATCGTCATGTCACTGTAGGTAATTTCTATAGAGCACACGGACATGATTTATTTTCTATCAAAAATACATTTTTTCTTTTCATAGAAATATTAATTTCCAGTATTCCACAAAAAAATTGATAAGGAAAAAATTGAAGTTCGTACGTAAAAGAACATTTTCGTTGAAAAATGCATGAAGGGACCTTTACCCTAAACTTTTGTTGGAAAAATTTTTATTTGAGAAATTAACAAATATCACATCATTCGATGCAGTTTTTCGTGCTGATTCAAAATTTGTTCTTCTTTTTTTCATTAAGTACTTTTGAGACAAATAAAAGCGGAAAACCTTTAAAAACCAAGTTTTTTTAGAAAAGCCTTAGTTGAGAAAACATGCATACTTTTCCAAAACGAAGATTTTTCATATAGAACGAAAAAACAAGAGCTCTATGATTTATTCCGTAGATCTTTCTAATTTCTTCTAAGATGACAGAAACATGGCTATTTTTTGGGTATAGGATGTTCCCAAACCCTTAAAGAGGTAGAATGATTTTTTTCTAAATCAAAAAGTCAGCCATTGGCCAAAATATATTGCACACGATTCAAATCGTGAAAAATATCACTTTCATTTTTCCACCAAATGTTCAAGTTATTTGTCCATTGTGAGAATGTTGTTCATGTTTCAGCTTACGAGAAAACTTCTTCCTAGTGATATTTGATTAAGCTATCGAATTTTTACTTGGCGTATTTTTTAGAGATCTGAAGCCTGAGGAAAACTCATTTTTTTTCAATTTTGATTTGAAACTCTGTGCATATAGAGAACTCAAATAGACTAGCTTCTATAAAAAAATTCACAAGTTTTGAGTAACGTTTCTTCGAGATATAAAGTTTTTAAAAAAATCCATCGTGTATATATAGTATTCATGGAGAAGTGTCTATATCCTAAAAGGCTCATATCTCGAAGAGATTTTGTTCAAAACGTATGAGACTTTTTGTGGAAGCTAGTCTATTTGAGTTCTATATGTGCACAAAGTTCCAGAACAAAATTTGAAAATACACGTTTTCCGAAAGCCACGAGTCTCTAGAAAATAGATATATTAAAAACTTCATGCCTTACTCAAATCTCTATAGAATACCAAATCCTTTTAGAATTTTTATTACAACACTTTATAGTATCTAGAGGCAAAAAAAATCATTGAAATTGGAAGGAGATAGTTGAAGAGATTACCTTGTTAGTACGCCAAGATGTTTTTTTACAGATAGAAATTTAACTCACTTGAATAACATATTCATGTTACTTACTTTCATATATAATTTATTTTCTAAGTTCAAAAATTTGAAAATGATCTATGTAGTTAATAAATAGTCTCATATCTACCTGGTTTCATTTCAATCTTCTCATTTTACATAATACCACACACATAGAAGAAATAAAAAATACATCATATCATACATTCTTTTCTTTTTCTTACTACAACAAATCAAAAACAGATGTGTATTTCTATTCTCTGTATTCTCCAACATAATGAAACAATCAGTAATCGAAAAAAAAAGTCAGCTATTTATTTTAGATATACGTATATATATATTCATTTGTTCGATATACATTCTTTTTGTTTTATTTGATAACACCTGCTGATTGCGTAGTTCTTTTAAGATCTCGATATTGTGGTGTAAAACCTTTGTCAATTAATTGACATGTTTCAATACGTGTTCGTTTAATAGATTTATAAGCTGTTTGATTTTGTAATGTTTTTTGATGTAATGTATTAGGATTAGACATTTTTTGTGTAGTAATAAATTTATTTGGTACAAATGTTCGAGAACTTGATGGTACTGTCGATGATAGAAAAGAGACTAAAGTTGAATCAGATCGTGGTGTTTTAATTGGATTATTTGAATTCATGGAAGGTTCATTAAGTATTGTTAATACTGGTTTAGGTAAATGTTTATTAATTAGTGAAGTTTTTGGTCGAAGAAAATTTTCACTAAATTCTATTATTGGTTCAATCGGTTCTGGAACACCATTATTAAGTGATAATAGTAACGATAGATCTGCTTCGGAAGAATTTTCATCAGATGAAAGTTGTTGTTGATGTGTTTTAGATTTGGATTGTTCATTCTGTTTTATTGATCCTAAATGAAAAATAAAAATAAATATGATATATAATTTCGTCGAAATTCATGAAAGTATTAGTAAAATAAAGAATTTTTTTCTATAGAACAAAAGATAGAGGCGCATAAGAATGCATTTCGGCTCCTTTTGGCTGATTTTCAAGATCTAAACTAATTGATTCATGTATAGAATCAAAGATCATGAGTTCTTGATCATTTTGATTCGATTACAAGTTTGAACAGGGCCTATCTTTACGATATACTAAACGAGTAGTTAGTTATTGATATTAGTCAACAATGTGAGCATTCTTTTGATAGAAAACAAATAAAAGTGAAGAGTTATTCTAATAGCTCTTTATTCAAGCTGTAGTTTCATAATCGAATCATTCATTTAAAATAATGTTTTGAATCTGAAACATCCATGTGCATTCCATTTGTCATTCAATTATTTTATTAATGAAACTTTCCCTTCACTTCATATTCGATAGACTTTTCCAAACGCACAACTTTTTTCAGTCTAATAAAGTGAGTCACATGAGAAAATCTTTATCATTTTAAAGAAATATCATATTTGAAATCAGCGTGAATAATGAGTCCATCTATGTATTTCAGCAACTTTTTTTTTCTGATCATATTTTTACCTTGAATCCCCACAGGCATATGTAATTACGGTCGTGAAAAACAAGCCTCTGACTTTTAAAATGTTATTTTAAGCTAAAAGAAAACAAGTGACTAAACAATAAAGTAGTTGTTTTGATTGTATTTCTTTTTCCACATATCCCTTTGAGAACCTACGGATAATAATTTGATCGGAAAAAAAAGTCGCAAAAAACTTTGAAATATATACATAAAAACCAACTGATGTTTGTTATGCTAATTCGAAATATAATATTTCTTTAAAGTGATAAGGATTTTCTCATGTAACTCACTTTTTTAGACCGTAAAAAGTAGTACATTTGAAAATATTTATCGAATACTGAAAATGATTAGGAAGTCTTGATCTTTCATTCTATATACAATTCAATTAGTTTGGACCTTGAAAATCAAAAGTAACCGAAATATGTTCTTGTGCACTTCTGTCCTTTCTACTAAAATTTTAAATAAGACTTAAACATTTTAAAAAATGAATAAATCATTCAATAAAAAATAAAAAAATATGAAGTTGGCGTAGGAGTATCTGAAAAGTTTTACAAACATTATTAATAGAAAATTTGATTTCTTATTAAACAAAAATTAATTAGAAGTTGAAGCTTCTAATTTTGGCTTCGATAAATAACAGTATTGTATATAATTTATTTGGATTTAAAACAAATATAACGGTGATTTTTTTGATGAAGAAGCCAAATAAATGTGGCGGGAAAAAAATATTTTGCCATCTACTCTATAAAGTTGTAACTGAAAAAAAAAGAGTCCAAAATCATCAAACCTAGATCATTTTTAGTTTCATTTTGTTGTATCTCATAAGCATGTGAATTTTTCCATAATTGATATGATTGATTTGGTTTTAAAAGTCGTACAAGATTTGCATAACGAGATCTTAAATGTTGTGCTTGCCGTTGTAAACGAGCTAAATTTTCTCGTAAATCAATATGCATTAATTTAATATCACGTTGTAAACGACGATATTCAAGTCTATTAAGACGCATTGCTTGAATTTGACAGTCACTTAATACAGCTCCACTTTTTATGCTCGTCTTCATATTTGATTTGTGATTTTATTTTCTGTTAGATTTCTTTTTTCTTTTTTTTTGTTCTTTTCTTCTCACTTATTTGATTAGGTTGTCAAATTGAAAAAAGAAATCTTATAAAAATATTTTATCACATTTTTTGTCATGTTTTATAAACACAATCAATATGATTGGATTGTTTCGTTATACCAATTGAGATGTAATAGATGATCGAAAAATAATTTAACAAAACGTTCAATCACTTTTTTTCAGTCTCTTAAAGGAGTCTACAGAAATTCGAAAAGATTGGATTAGAATCAGAAGTTTGTGTACTTTCCGAATGGTTTTTTTTTTGTTACTTTGCAATTCTGTTTTCCATAATAGTCGAGATAAATAGATATAATGTGCCTTATTAAAACACTCATTGTTAACAAATGGTTTGGAGCAAACAAATCATTAGTGTATCATTTTATAGAGAAATGTTTGCTCATTCATTCATTGTATTTGAAATAATTGTCGATCCTACTTTGAGTAATTTTCGGTGTGCTAAATTTCATTTACTGGCATTTATAAAGTCAGCTAATAACTCATAAAATCAGAACTCTTAGAAAAATTTTGAAATTATATTCGAAACGAATACAAAAAAATTCTGATACTAAGCCAATGTTTTCAAAATTTTTGCGCAAGTTCCTTTAAAAGGCTGCACAATGAATGAACATTTGTCAAATTACTTTTCGATTATCCGTTAGGATTCAGTATAATAGATCATATTTATCCTTTAGCAAAACTTATAACAATCAGAGTGACACATAGAATAAAATAACCATGCATAAAAGCAACAACCTATCGAAAGAAGATAACGAATGATCATTTTAATAGATTCACAATAACATTAAGTTTAAAAAAGACTGATTTATTTTAGGAGTTGAAATTCAGATAAAATTACATAAAATCTCGTATCTTCAAAATTCGAAACATTTACAATGCATTGAAATAATTTTTTTGACGAATTTCAGTTAAACTTATTGATATTCTTAAGCGTCTACATATTGGATAAGATTTTAAAAAATATTTAGATACAGCTTCTGAAGGGTTAGATTTTCAACAAACTTGGAAAACCTATCTTATTGCCATATCTCTAAACCGAGTCTAGTTTAAGTCAATGGGTTTAACAAAAATCAGTGTTTTTCCTAATCGTTTGGTAACAAAGACACACCATGTGACTGAACCTTCTATATGTCTATATTCTTTCTTTATCTATTTCATATGTCTAGAGGAAAAGATAGCAGCTGATACATAAATTGAATTAAAGAACAGTTGTCTATTTCTTTCTTTTTTTTGTATCATTATCCGTTAATCTTACGGGAAATAATAACCTTCTATGCAAAAAAGAAATAGACTGATTTAAATGGATAAATGTGGATGAGTAACGTAGTATGTTTTATTAAGACTTCAATATATTCGAAAAATGTAGAAAATTATTCTCATTAGTTTGATTTCGAAAAAAAAAAAAGAAAGTTCTATGATAATTATAACACTAAAACACTCATCAGTAGAGTATTCGAAATCATCAGAAAGATTTAATTCACTACCCATGTAATTCAAACCGAGCGTAGACCGTGTGGTATAATGTGCACTGTACCGACAATCAATCGGAAGTAGTTTGATACTTAAACGATCGACTATCATGTGACCACAATCCTACCACTGTATAAACTCTCAAACACGAGCAATAAAATTCACTGTAGTATAAGGCGCTAATTATAATTGATAAATTATTCTATTTTGTAAATTTATTTATATAAATTAGACATGACAGTTGAAGATTCTCGTCCACGAAGTGCATCAAAATCAATATTAAATAGTATGACAACAAGTGTTGGCCGTTTTTATGAAAAAAGACATCAATTATATGGTGCTCTTGATCAATATAGTAAAGCTTTATCATCAAATCCCGATGATACAGCTACTTATATTGATCGTTCACGTGTTTTTCTTAAAATGGGTAGTATTAATAAAGCTCAAGAAGATACTGGTAATTAATATAGAAAAAAAAAATTTTCTATGTAATTTAATTTTTGTTTTAGAAATATAGATTTAGCATTAAATTTAATTGGAGATACACAAAAAAATTCAAATCTTCTTTTTTATTATGTTTGTTTACAAAAAGCTGAAGTTTTATATGCAGATGGTGAATTTGAATTAGGTTGAGTAATAAAAATGATTTAATAAAAAACAAAAATCTAATGAAATTATTTTAAATAGCATTAATGTATTTTCATCGTGCTAATAAAGTTAAACCAGCACAACAAACATGTATTGAAGGTATTCGAAAAACAACAGAAATTCTTGAATGTACTATTTGTAATCCACATATACATTTAACAATTACAAGTAATTTAGCTAATATTCAAGATAAAGAAATAAATAAAACAAATTTACTTAATCGACCATCAATACGAAAACCATTACCATCAATTGAAATACCATTAACAGAATATACTGATAAAGAAGCAAATCGATTGTTAATAGAAGTAGCAAAAGATCGTAAATTATTAATTAATCTTTATAAAGATAAACAACCTTCAGTTGGTTTGTATTAGAATATATTCTTATAAATATATATATATATATATATATATTTTCTACAAAGGTTTTACTGGTTTGGATAAAGCAAAAACTGATGCACATCAAGCTATATCTATTATTGAATCTCAACTTAAATTTCTTGATAAAGCTGAATGTTTACGTATTGACGAAAATCGTACACGAGAAAATATTATGTGTACATCAGAGACAGATCGAACAACTCTTGCTCGTATAGCTGAAGAAGAACTTATGTATCTACAAAAATTACCATCAAAAGAAAAGAGTATAGAAGTAAATAAAATAATAATAAAGTTAGGTTTTATATCGAATGGACTTTACCTATGGCAACGCCAGTGTGTTATCCAATGTGAGGGCCGAGGAGGCAGTGCTTTTCCTAAGATCGGATCCGCCCTTCCACAAGAGAAAGTTTGTGGATGACACTCAAATTAATCAAAAATCTAAGGATATATTACAATTCGTAACTTCGTATTGAATAGTTTTAACTAAACACAAGCGAAACTTCATTATAACATTTTGCGTGAAATTGAAGCACATCATTTTAGGTATTTCTAGTCTAGTAGAATAAATATATGACATAGACAGTTGGTATTTTGAGCAGATAAACTATTATGAGAACAGAGTTACAATTTGGCGAAAATCGCAACTACATCGACGAAACCTATCGGCAGATAATAAGAAAAACAAGATAATTAGATAGGTGTATGATCAATTTTGAGCACCACTGTGTAATGCCAATAAGATAATTGATTATGAGATTTTAGAGTAACATTCAGTCATTTTAAAGATATTCTTCTTCAAATGTAAAATTCCTATTTCTATTTACTTCATAAAGAAGACTGATATATGTGTGTCAGTAATCAAAACTAACATTCAGTAGATGTTTACGAAATGTATTCGAAGCCGAGCCAAATTGTAAGCCGTTGCCACTGTTTTTATACAGGACGGAAGAATGAGAGGGTAAATCTCACTTTGACCGAAAGATAAAAATGCCGACTTATTCAAACATCAAGACAATACAAGTTATTCTTTAGTTGATGATAAAGACTTTAATATGTTTATTTCAATTATATTTTTTTACTTACTATCAAGTAAAAAAGAAACATGTTTAGCATTTCATAGATAATGTTAAGTTGTTATCTAAGAGAATCAAATCAAAACGAACTTTATCAATGATTCTGTAACGATGTGCATGAAGTAAATTTTCAAAATTAAACAGTTTTAATCCTAAAATTCGTGTCCCATAAATAAAACACAATTGCAGCTCTTTGAGTATCAAAACACGAACTTTCTTGCAAAAACTAATATTCTATTTTCAAAAATTCGAAATTTTGTAACCGTTGACATTTAAACTAACTGATTTTGAAAATTTACTTTATGCACATTGTTATAAAATCATTGATAAAGTTCATTTTAACTTGATTCTCTTAGATAACAACTTAACTTTATCTATGAACCGTTAAACATGTATTTTTTTTACTTGATGACAGGTAAAATTGCTTACATCATACTTAAAAGTAATATTTGTTTACCTTATCCGTATGAAAAAATCTTTGAATAAACTTCTACTAATAATAAAAAAAACGAATCAGTCCATTTGATTGAATCGATGCAAAAATATTTCATTTTTTTAGCATAGCGTTATTTATGGCCTGCATTGTACGTTGTGTACTATAGAGGCAAAATTAACTTTTGAAGGAAGTAATAGGAATCTAAATCTTTTAAGAGTTTTTACTAGAGCATTAAATAGTGTCTATAGGGAAATCAATGGTAGATACCTAAAAAAGGCTTCCTCATTAGCCTTGTAGATCTGTCATCTGATAATTGAAAATTCACTATAATCACCTCATAGAGTATACTGCTTTTCAAAAAGGTTAATTGAAAACTTTTTAAAAAAAGAAATCTATAATATTATTTAAGAAATTCTCTATCATAGATTCTATATCGTTCAATGAAAATTATCAATTGTCTTCATTCATCTGATAGTATAAATAATATACATGATCTTCGTATACGTTTAATGCTTGCTGAAGCATATCGATTAATTGGACAATCTTATAATGAAATAAAATTATTTGAACAAAGTTTTGAAAATTATAAACAAGCATATGAAATATTATTACCATTAAAAGATCAAAGTTGTCTTTATCGATCATTATATGATATAGCTCGAAGTTTATTATTAGGAAATAAATATTCAGAAGCAATTAAAATATTTAATGATATGCTTAATAAAGCAATATCAGATAATGAACGTGCATTTGTTTATCAATATTTAAGTTATTGTTATTTAAATTTAAATAATTATGATCAAGCAAAAAATTATGCATATGAATGTCTTGATTATGCATCAATATCAAATGAAGAATTATTACGTATTGAAGCAAATATATTATTAGGTAAAATTTATTTTCAATTAAAAGATTTTCAACATTCAGAAGAATATATAATTTATGCACAAAATCTTAAAGATCAATTAGGTGATTTAAATCAAATGAAATATCTAGATAATTTAATATGTAATATTAAAAATCATAAAGAAAATATTTTTCAAAATCATATTTCACCATTTGTTCAATATGAAAATGAATATTTAAATAAAATAAATCAACAATGGATATCATCAATTATGGAAAATAATCAAAATAAAGAAATTAATTTAGAAAAAAAATTTTTTGAACAATTTAATAATAAAAATATACAAAATTGGCGTATTCTAACACCATATTATCGTCTTTTTGATATATGTATTGAACGTAAAAAGAAAATTCGTCGAAATATAGATGATCATATCAAACAACCAATTACAAATGTTACTATATCTTAACATAATTTACCATTAATATCAACAATAAATAATATATTTGAAAACGTATAGAAAAAAAAAAGAATTTTATTTATCAGTTCTTTCAAGAGTATCAATATGATATTAGAATAAGTAATCAACAAAAAAAAACAAAAAATAAATGATACTTTAAAATTTGAACAGGAAATATATATCAACAATTATCTCATATTGATAAATTACTTAAGACATACCAAAAATAGTAGACGAAGTAATTCAATATTCTACAGAAAGTTTGAAGAAAAATTTCTCTTTATATATATATTGATAATAAAAATAGTATTCTATATTTCTGCAATATTTTATCATTCTTCAACTAAAATTATAAGAATATAATTTTGATAAGACCTATTTGTCATGATATATGATGATAGCACAAGATCATATTGTCTTCGCTATATATATCTTTTTTCATGATCTATTTTCTTTATTTCTCCTCTTCGCTAAGATTTATACATATATAAGTTATATATAAAGACTTCTTCGGATTGGTCTCTGATCCGGTCGGGTTTGAGTCTGAAAATTTTGAATTCGACAAGCTTTTTTTCATCTGAAAAATATGTTCGGTGAACTAGTCAACGAATACAAAAAACCAATATCTCGTATCTTTGGAGCAACTATCCAATTCCGATTAAAAAACCTTATTGAGAGTATCAAAGTAACATATATAGATGGCTAAGTATTAGAGGAAATGAGAATAAAAGAAGAAGATACATAGTAAAAACAATATGATCTAATGTTATTGTCACGTATCAGAACAACTAGTTCTTATCAAAATATTATGATATTAGTTGAAAAACAAAACAATACTGCACAAATATAGAGCATTATTTTTTCCTATCAATGCATATAGAAAGAAAGCTTCTTCAAACTTTGTATAGGATATTGAAGTGCTCATTCGCTACTACTTTTGGTATGTTCTAAGTATATATTTTAAATTCATAGAATAATTATTGAATTAAGTAAAATAATTTCTAGAAACATTTTAGAAAACATTACCATAGTATCATTTCGTTATGTTTTTTTTTTTGAACTCTTGTCTTAACAGTGATAGTTAGCACGAATTGGAAAACAAAATTGAGTTACTGAAAGAATTTCCTATTAAATGAAGTAACTTTTTCGACTTTTAAGGAACAATTTCTTTTGAAAAATCAAGACCTCATGAAATTAATTTTCTTAATTCAATCGACAATCTCTTGCAAAAAAGATTCATCGGATAGCGCAACTAAATGAAAGATTTCCGAGCTTCAATTGAGTGCAGTTTAATGAAGAAAGATCAATAGAAGCTCGAAAACCTGTCATTTATTTGCGTTGTCAGATAACACATGTCCGATCGAATATAGAAAAAATCATTTTAGAAAGTCTTGATTTTTTTTTTAGAGGATCTCACCTCGAATAGAAACAAAAACCAATCTCTTCTAATAGAATACTCTTTCAACTTTTCAAATCATTTTTTTCTTTCGATTGACTCTAATTATTTTCGTTAAGAAAATATTTTAATAATACAAAAATATGCTAAACTTTTAGTCTACATTTTTAATATTTATATATCGAATAAATATTTGCATGAATAATAATTTCTGACATATAGTTAATGAGAAACTGTCAACATTTATTAAACTTCATTTGATTTTTCCACTCACTGAATTTATCTTTAAATAACATATTTTTGTTTTGAATCCAAACAATGTTACATGGTTTCTAATTGTGTAATATCACAATATATCATTGTCATAAGTATTTATTTATTACAAATACAAAATAAATAATGATAATTTCATGATTAAATAGAAATTTTTTTCTAAGAAAAAATTATTTAAATATATTTATCAATAGTTCGTTTTTTTTTTCTCTAATCCAAAAAAAAATATATATATTCAATAGATTATATCTCTTTCTTGTTTAATAAGCTTCTAATAATAGAAATAAATATAATTCCTTACAATTACGAATAAAGTACTCGGCAGACGTCTGCTATATTAATATCTATACATAAATCATTAAGGATATTGATCGAGGAAGATGCAAAAAAAAAAAAAAGAATCTGTCAAAGATGCGAAGATTACTTTTTTTCCTCTTGATACTAATCTAGCTAGATGTCATTGGAATCGTCTAGAAATATCTATCTATAAACTCGTTTGATTATTGGTCAATTTTAATTGTCCATTTGACGTTTAGGTTGTTGTTAAATTGAGTCATATTATATTACATATACATCATACATATATATATTTCTATATATATAAGTGCTTATTTGTTTAGTGTAGACAGGGATGAGTTGTTGTTTTTTGATTATAGGGCATTGTTTGTTCTTTATTGATATAATTGAAAATTCTTTTTTTTTTTTTATTTAAGACTTATTTATTCTTTGTGATGAATGAATGTGAAAGAACAGGTTATTTGATTATTTAAAAACAAAATAAAAGAATCGACTAAATTTTTTTTGTTTGTTTGTGTTTTATTTTTTTAAGGGTGCTAAATGATGATTTATATTTAAATGTTGAAATAGAATGGTCAATAATATGGCTAGTACGGGAAATGATATTGTACAACGTACACGTCTATTGGAAGAGCGCATTATTGATCCACGTTCATCAATTTCAATAGATAGTTTACTTGATTCAATTGTTGCTTTAATTTATGATTGTGAAGGTCTTAAAAAGACAAAAAACTATGATGCATTTTATGGAAAATGTAAGAGAAAGAAAAATAACAAAAAAAAAAATTTTTTTTTTATCTATTTAATTCAAAATTAAAAATTTCTAGTTCATACATCTACACGAGAAATTCGTGATAAACGTGTTAATTTTGATGATTTTGAAACAATTAAAATAATTGGTCGAGGTGCTTTTGGTACGGTTGATCTTGTACGACGAAAAGCAACTGGACAAGTTTATGCTATGAAAACATTGAGTAAATTTGAAATGGTAAAAAAAAAAAAAAAACAAATGAAAATATTAATTAATCAAAAACTAAAATTTATTGTTTTTGCTTTTTCTTTAGTTAAAACGATCTGATAGTGCTTTCTTTTGGGAAGAACGAAATATTATGGCTTTTTCAAATAGTGATTGGATTGTTAAACTTCATTATGCATTTCAAGATGCTAGAAATGTAAGTTTTTCATTGAATATTTAAATATTCGAATTTGATCTTGACTACAGCTGTTTTTAATTAATTAATTAAAAGAAAATAGAAATAAGTCAATAGAAAAGATATTTCAAGGTTGGATATGGTAGACTTATATACAATGAAATAAATGATCCAAAAACTGAAGGACTAAAAGAAAATCAATGATGCTCAGAAATATCCAAACCTTATGGGAGTTTTTATGATTACTTGTATAGGTCAAGAAAAGCTTGACTAATCATCTAAATACTTCAAATTGGTTCAATAGTTCTCGAGGTCGAATATTGAACCACAAATTTATGTTCAATACATGTCTTTATACATAGATATAACTGATGATGATGAAAATGAGTTTTATCTTTTTTACATTGTATGTTATCAGTAAAATGATTGTAATAGTAATGATTCGATAATATAAGAAGAAGTATTTGCATAAACTTTTATTGTGTAACTTATTCTATCTTGTAATTTCATTTTTAAAAAATTTTGAAGATTTCTGTTTAGTAACGGAAATATATAATTGTTGTTTAGATATTGATTTGTCTGAAAATAGCTTTTGTTTTGCGAATATTTTACAGCAGATCTAAAGAATAATGTGAATATATTCGAGAGTCAACTGACTCCAATAGTGTTATGTAAACAAAAGAAAAAAACACTCGAATACATTGTGTTTAAATTAATAGATTTATAATTATTTTATTTATTAAAAGAATATTCTTATTAAATATTTTCATATTATTTAGCTCTATATGATTATGGATTATATGCCAGGTGGTGATTTAATAACATTACTTACACGATATGAAATAAATGAAAATTCTGCACGTTTTTATTGTGCTGAAGTTGTACTTGCACTCGATGCCATTCATAGTATGGGTTATATACATCGGTATGAATAAGAAATTTTCTTTTTTTCGTCTTTGTTTTTATTTAATTATTGTTTTATTGTAGAGATGTCAAACCCGATAATATGTTACTTGATGCTCGTGGACATTTAAAATTAGCAGATTTTGGTACTTGTATCAAAATGGATAAAGTAAATGGATTAATTAATAACAAATCAACCGAGTTTTGTTGACATTCTTTTTTTGTTTTTTTGTTAAAGGATGGTCTTGTTCGTTCGGATACTGCAGTTGGTACGCCTGATTATATAAGTCCAGAAATTTTAAAATCTCAAAGTACAACTGGTGTTTATGGATCAGAAGTTGATTGGTGGTCTGTTGGTGTATTTCTTTATGAAATGTTACTTGGTAAAAAATTTTTTTATTTTATATAAATTATATTTAATTAATTTACTTTTTTTTTTTTTCAAAGGTGAAACACCATTTTATGCCGAATCATTAGTTGGAACATATCATAAAATAATGAATCATCGAGATAACCTTGTCTTCCCAGAAGAAATACCTTTATCAACAGAAGCTCGTGCACTTATTTGTGCATTTTTGAGTGATCGGTAAGAAGAATTTTTTTTTTATTGAAAAGAAAAAAAGGTAAAATGATTTTTTGCATTTTTAGATCAACACGTTTAGGTAAAAATGGTGTTGGAGAAATAAAAGCTCATGCATTTTTTACAAATCAAAATGAATGGACATGGGAAACAATACGAAAAGGTTAGTTCAAATAAAATATAAATACTTTTTTTTTGTTTAATTTTCTCTTATTAAATATTTTATTTAGCTTCAGTTCCTATTGTTCCACCATTAACAAATGATGAAGATACAAGTAATTTTGAAGAAATTGAAAAAACTGATGGTCCATCTGAAGAATCATTTTCTGTTAGTAAAACATTTGTTGGAAATCAACTTTCATTTGTTGGTTTTTCATTTTCCAATGAAGCACAGTAAGATATTTTATAT